AAAACAATTATTACAAAACAATCATTTGGAAATTATTCTCAAAATAACTGGGGCTTTTCTGGTGCATTTGTGCTATCATTTTCTATGCAGGCTGTCTAAACACTAAAGGTGAGTAATTAAGGCAATTATTGCAATAATTCAGCACTCATAATTCAGAATAAGGAAGAAAACATCGTTTGATATTTCTGACTTTTTCTTTTTCCTTTCCTTTCTTTTCTTTCCTTTTTCTTTTTTCTTATAATTCCCTCCAATCCTTCCTTTATCATGACTGGTCACAGCTTTTGGTCACAAGATTGATTTTATTCCTATTTGTCCATAAGTGTTGTAATCTTGCCTGACAGTTCTTGCTTAATGTAGAAACCAAGCAAAGGTTCTGCTTATGCTGGGCCTCATTTCCAGTCATCTGATGCAGCACTGCTCTCAGGCTATTGCTGTGGTTCTCAGAGAGCCCGTTACCCATGCACACATAGACCCTGTCTCATCACAGGTCCTGAAAGCTCTGGCAAAAAATGAGAATGGAATCAATGTCATGACTTTCTGAATTCCTTAAAATCGAAGATAACTCACTGACCCTCTTGTCCACTACTTGAAGAGACCCTGCATCTGGTACACTCACATGAACCTCTGGAAGGATAGTCATAATCAAGTAAAGTTATGGGCAGAACCCATATGGAGAAATATGTTTCCAAAGAGAAAGCCTCTTCTTCTGTTTTATCAACTGGTAAAAAGCCAATTCCTCCCCAGAATGGCCTAGACACATATTAAAAGAAATGCATTCCGTGAGCACTGGAAAAACCTTAATTAAGCCTGTTTCTCACATAGGCCAACCTATTTCAGGCTTTACTGGAAAGCTCTATACTGTCTCATCAGATTTCTCCGAACACGGTCTTTTCTTGAAATGCATTCTAATTGGCTGGTGTTGAAAACCACCATAAATCAAGGCTATGGATATCCAGGCTTTGATATCGTTAGTATCTGCAGCAATCTGGCCTGAAGTCCTCAAAGTGATTCCCTAGTCATTTTGTTGCTATGGTTCGCTGTCATTTCCAGTGACCCATAGACTTCTGTGTTGTTTTTCATAACATCTGACCTGTTTCCAGTGATAATGTTTCTGCTCAGTAAATTTACTGATAAATTTTAGAAAAAGAAATTTAGTAGAGAGCACCCCACCTTATGTATCAAGTTGGCTGCTAAAATATTGTATACATGATACATATTATTTTACATTAAGACACATTTGTATGACTCAGATGTGCTAGTAATTAAAAGGATACTTCTCCAGTCCCTCTATAAAGCAAAAAAAAATCATTCTGTAAAGACAGTTGACACTTGATAATTTATCTTTTCAGTAAATTCTGACTGTCATGACATATGTATGATTACTATTGAAGAGCAAAGGATAGGATGGCGTGGCAAAAGGGGGACAATTATCACACACATGTGTGTATGCATGCACCCCATTTTCCTGTTGCAAATCGTTTTGGGACCCGAAATCCTGAGAATTACTTCAATTTTCTGTTGTGAATATGTACAGGTGACAGAATTCAAGTTCCTCCCTTGTTTTGGAGTTTTCTTTCTTCTTTTCTGTTTTTTTTTCCTTTCTGTTTCAATCCTTGAGCACTATGTAGGGAGAGCCTGGAATTTATGCTTGTGAAAGGCAAAATGTGAAACAAATTCAGATGCTCATTAAACTATAACATTGGCATTTTCGACACCCCCAGGAGGATTTACTGTGTCTTTCTCCTCAACCTGGGAGCATATGACTTCCTCGTTCCTTCTGGGCTTAAAATTCTCCATTGCTCTACTCTGGCTTTCTTATTCGAAGTGCTAAATGCCAGCTTCTTAGATTTCACTCTTTTTGTTCAAAACCTATATGAACACACTAACATATATAAGCAGTTATAGAGTGTGTCTCAAACCTCTATTAACTTCAGTGCAATAACTAACTTTTCATAGAGAAAAAACACAATTTGAATACTTTTCACAGCAATAGAGATAAAAATATTGGCTTATTATTAAAATTTTATTTTATATGTATTTTTCTTCACATAAAGTCCCTAAATTTTAGTATTTCTCCTGGTCAATTCAACACTTACTGTGTTCTTACTATGTGAAAATAATTACACAAAAGCACCACGAGTGATAAAAAGATAGATAAGCCATAGTCCCTGTCTTCAAGAGCTTTATCTCCAATGGGAGAGACATACAAGAAGCCTTGAATTAAATTAAATTGTTTAAGAGAATTAAATTGTTGCCATAGCAACTTTAATTGCTCCTTAATTTAAATAAGGAGCAATTATGACAACTTAAGAAAAAATAAGATGTCTTTGCAAAGGACATTTGCATTGAGCCATGAGAGCTGATAAGAACCTTGGTTGGATAGTGAGAAGAAGGGTATTTCTGGTGTGTGTGTGTATTTTTTTTGAGACGGAGTCTTGCTCTGTCACCTGGGGTGGGGTGCAGTGGCATGATCTCGGCTCACTGCAACCTCTGCCTCCAAGTTCAAGAGATTCTCCTGTCTCAGCCTCCAGAGTAGCTGGGACTGCAGGCACGTGCCACCACGCCTGGCAATTTTTGTAGTTTTAGTAAAGATGGGGTTTCACCATGTTGGTCAGGCTGGTCTTGAACTCCTGACCTTGTGATCCGCCCACCTTGACCTCCCAAAGTGTTCAGATTACAGGCATGAGCCACCACGCTGGCCGAAGAAGGGTATTTCAGACGGAGAGTTTTCCTTTGATTTATCTATTTAATATTTCTGTTAATAATCAATTTATAAAAGTAAATGTACCAATTTACCATGGTTTCTGACTATTAGCTTTTAAAATAAATTGCATTTTTTTCTCCTTTATATATTCAAAAAAATAAAGCGTTTTAAGATTTGGTATTTCTCTCTCTCTTTCTCTCTCTTCTTCTGAATTGCTCCTATACAAGAATAGAGATATCTAAGTCAGGCTTTCTGAGTAAACTGGGTTGTTGCTAAATCTGTTTAAATTATTGTAGATTTCTTGTACCTTTTATCTTAGATTTCAATTGAAATACATGAATTCAACGTCAGTACTGACAAATAAAAACCTGATCTTACTTTTTAAGCAGCACTCCAGTTCTCAATTCTGTTTGTTCTGAGCCACTTATTTTTCATTCCCCTTTAAAGTTTCTATTTAAACACACCTCTTTGTCATATGCTGATAAATATTAAAATAACAGGAAAAATCTGCCTGATTTATTTCAGCTGATAATAAGAACAAAACACGGGATGTGTGTCTCCTCCTTCCTTTCCTAACCGTGGCTAAACGTTAAGGAGATTTTGAAACCCATAATTACATAATAATTGGTATCACTACATTCTCTTCCCAGTGAAAAGCCAGGATTTTTGTAGTTTGCCACAGAGACAGAAGGAAACAAATTGCCTGAGTGGTATTGTCATTTCTTTGCTCCATTGTTTGAGAAGACTTTATCAAAAGAAGCCCTAGTTGTCAAGCTGTAGTTGCTGTGCCAATAATCACAAAATGATCTTTCCAACCACATCTTTGGTTAATGAGCTAATTTACAGAACCATAAATTTTACATATTCTCCTAATGTTTGTCAGTATTTATTACAAGAAAAAGAAAACATTGTCTAAATATTCAAACTGATGTTGAATATTTGGCTAACAGAAATTTGTCTAACAGAAATGTGAGCAACATTGCCTCACTGGTAGGCCAATATGATGAAATGATTGGAGTTTCAAAACTACCTCCTTTGATCTCCAAGTATGTAACACGAGTTATATGTTAAAACACCCTATTTTGTTTCTTTCAATAACAGTTCTAAGGGAAATAGTACATGCAGCACGCCAGGTTTTTGAAGTTCATAGAGTACTATTTACTTCTTTGTATTTCATATCTCAGGGCTCTAGAGTAAACTCACCTTTACTTAATATCTTTCTTTCACTTTTTTTTCTCGTTCTCAATCTTTCTCTTATGAAAATATTTTTAAAAGCATGCACCACAAATACTTCAGAAGCCAATGAGCCAATAGAATCTGCTGCTTTTGTTCCCTTCTTTTAGAAGTTGAGCTTTTGCAATGCTTCCGTTATACTTATGATCAGGATACCAGAAAGAAAACACAACAACCAAGTAAGAAAGATTTTAAGTATGAAGCGCTGCTGGAAATAGAAAAGCGTGTGAGGCATTGTTAGGTGTCAGGCGTTAGGTGATCTCAGTGTGAGTTCATCTTAATTGTTTCTCCTGTGTTTTTTCTTAAACCTACTGCTACAATAGTAGGGAACAGATTTAGGAGAAAACATTATTTGGACGTTAACAAATGTCACAGAACTGGTTGCATTTTGTGTGAAGAAGAATTTCAGTTCAACACAACTCCATGGTGTTCCTTCAAGGTGACCCTTCCTCTCTGCAGCTCTCAACACACCAAGAGAAGTGGATGCACTGTTCTGAAAGATGAGAGGTTAAGTTCTTAAAAAAAAAAAAAACACCGTTGAGGAACAAAGTTGGATGCCCTCCAAGAGAAATGATTCGTGACCTGGAAAGAGCCTTTGGTTTCACACCTGGAAAGGATGTAGATTCAAGTGGGATCTATAGTTGACATTAAGAGGGAAACCACTAACATATCCGCAGGGGCCCTCAGGCCAGCATGGGGCACCTTAGGTCTTTGAGGTTAGCTCTCCTGTAGTTTATTGGGGCCATCAAGCTGAGGTCAAGCTGCACTGTCAATACAACTCTGCCTCCTGCTCCTCTTTGGGGAAGGAGCAGCATTACTCCACATTTATCATGTTCTGAAAGTCTGCAAATACAATGGGCAAATTATTTAGTCCTGCTTTTAATGTGGTTTTAATAGAGTGAAGTAATGCTCCAGTGTACCTTAGAAAAAAGTCACCAAGAGACATACTTTTGAGAGCCACAATATGCAAACAATGCTATTGTTCTAAAAACCAGTTCTGAATAAGAGGCATGTTTATTGTTCTATCTTGAAACATCGAGATAGACCTTATGACATGGCCTACCTTGCGGGTTGACTCTGGAGACAGGAGGCTGACTAGCAGCTGGAGACCTCCTGTGGAGACAGACAGAGAAGAGAAAGACTGAGTCTGTGTATCAAAACTCCCCATTCCCACCCCTGACACCCCACCCTCATGGTTACTGAGGACTTTTCCAGGTCATAATGAACTATGTAGTGACATAATGCTATCTCCGGAAGGCAGGCTCCTGTAACCCGGGTAGATGACTGTAATTCTCTCACATCCAGATGGACTGCAATTCTCTCACATCCAGATGGCCTGGAATTTCCCTTTGCAAGGCCTCAGGATGCTCTGACTCTCCAGGAAGGAAGTTGTTTACTCCGGGTCCCCAACCAGCCCCCTGTTTTAGGTTTTGCTGTTCCAAGAAGCCCTCAGAAAAGGAGTTGCTCGCTTAGGCGTCACTCGAAATGTCAGAGTGAATCTCAATTCCTTTGGGCAGTGCTGTAAAAAGTTATAGCCAGAGGAACCCTTAGCGATCAATCACTTCAGGTCCCTAATTTTTGTACCTCAGGAGACTGACACCTAGAGAGGTGAAGTCACTTACCAGGGTCACACAACCACTGGGAACAGTCATCCAACTTGCTTTACTTAGGGAACAGAATTTACATGGAGGAACTGGGATGTCACTTTATGTCATAACAAGCCTGCTGAAGTCAGGGGTTAAATGAAACAAGCAAACCCATGTTCCCATAGTACAGGGGCTCCTCCTTTTTTCTTGGTTCTTTTCCTTTCTCTGCCCCAAATCTTTCAATTTCACTGCTCTTACCAGTCTTCTCATGTTCTGCAGAACTTCTACCAGACTCTCCTGTTTCCTGCTGCATTGCTGGAGAACTTCTCAGGAGTACTCTTGAGCAGGGCTCTCAAACATTAGGGTGCATCAGAACCACCTGGAGGGCTTATGCAGACACACTGCTGGGCCCTACCCCCAGAGTTGCTGATTCAGTAGGCCTGGGATGGGCTTAAAAGTTGGCCCTTATAAAAAGTTCCCAAGTGGTGCTGATGCTGCCGGTCTGAGGACCACATTTTCAGAGACACTGGTATTAAGGATTCTCTGCTCCACTAAGGAGTAACAGGACGTTTGCTATGAGCAAGAGAGTGAGACTCTAGTCCAATGGTTCTCAAACATGGATAAGCATCAGACTCATTAGGGGAGCTGTTAAATTTCTTTTCCCAACCCCGAAGAGTTGATTTCAGTATATCTGAGATGAGGCCTGAGAATCTGTATTTTTCACTTGTCTTTGCATTCTCATGCACAGGCAAGTTTGAGAACGAAGTCAAATTCTAAATGACAAAGAACAGCCGGCATTGTTGTTGCTAAAGAAGAGTCTTCCTACTGGTGTGGCCACAGAATTATTTCCCTAGGTTTTTCTGCTGCTCTAAATTAATCTCTGGTCCTTTAGGGACAATCTAGCTTGTAGGTACCCACACCTAGTAGTCATAGTCTATAGACAGGTCCACATCTACCATTAATTTACTAGCTGGGTGATCCTAGGCAGGGTAGTTTTAAACTCTCAGTGGTATGCAATTTTCACATGTGACAAGAGAAGGGAAATTATCATCTAATGATTGTTTTTCTCTGCTAGGCTGTGCTAGGTACTTCTTAGCTTCCACTGGGAGTATTATCACCCCATTTTAAGGATAAGAAAACTGAAGCTCAGAGAGGTTAAGAAACATACTGACACATGATTTATAATTGGTACAGCCAGGATTCAAAGCTAAGTCTTTCTGAATCCAAAGTGCATGCTCCTTCCACTATACCATATGCTGATAACACCTGCACTAATACTGAGGGCTGTTTTTCAGGAAAATTAAGAGATTAAATTCCAAAATCCTTAGTCTGGCATTCAAAGTCCTTGCTCTCTAGCCCCAATATCCTTTTTCCAGCTTATCTCTCATAATTCCTCATTGCCTGACATTTCATCTCAGACCACTGACTGGCTGTGTGCTCTCATGCATCCTGTACTTCTCTTTTGTAGCACTTTAAAATTATAGCTTAAATAGGCTTTGTCTAGTTAGTGTTCAATACATAGTTCCTTAGATTAAATGTAAACATTATGTGAGCAGGGAACAACTTGTTTACTGCTTGATCCCTGGCACCCAGGATAGTCCTTCATATGACAAGCATTCAGTAAATACTTATTGAATAGAAGAATGAATGAATGAGGAACAGAGCTGACTCACACTTGCCAAGGACAAACTTGATCACCTCTTTTTCCTTGAATGTGTGCTGCCCCTTTCCTGTCATTATTCAGACCATTCATTCCCCTGTAAAGGAAGCTCTCTTCACACCAATCTACCCATCAAAGGTTAAGTTACTCATCAAACCTTCTCCAAAGGATGCCATCCTCTTAGCCAAGAGTGGTCTCTCTAATCTCTCATGGTGCTTTATTTGTATCTTTAGGGTCATTTCTTCATGTGACAGTCCATATTGGCACATATTATCTCCACTAGTAATCTGTGACCTGTTGATGGCAGGATCCAGTTCTGATATCTTTGCTTACATACTCTTCAGGTCCCACCAATTTGCCTGGCAAATAGTAGGAACTCCAAAATGTTAATCGAATGTAGATTGAATAACCCATTGATGTGAAAGTGATTTGAGAACCAAATACTCTATATGAATATTTTATCTGGTTTCCTTTTCACATACAATCTTGGTTCTATATGCCACTTGCCATTCCTCAAACACAGCACTCTCTTTTGTTGCTGTGCCTTTGCACACATTTTGCTCAGTTGAATACTTTTCTTTTCTTTAAATGGCTAGCTCTTTCATATGTCCTAGGACTCTGCTCAGGCATCACCTCCTCAGAGGAGCCTTCCCTCTGTGAGTGGCCCTCACCTGTGTTCTGTATTTTCTATGCTTACTGAACCATTGCATTGCTCATTCTGTATCGCATTTCCCATTTTCCTGTCTTTCTCTTCAACTCATCTGGGAGAAATTTAAGCAATGATTGAACATTGTGCACAACTGTAACACAGGGATCTGGCATAATATTTGGTATGATGTAGGTGCTCAACACATATGTACTGGATTAATAATACAATTTAATAATTTTATCTTGCACCTTTTCCTGAGTTCCAAAGAAGACTTTTGTGAAAGAAGACACTGAACTAGGAGACCCTAAATGTTGGAAATCTCTACTTTCTTTACAGCATGTCTAATCACAGTGCCCAATTCTCTCAATGACTTCTTGGAAATTACACATATTATGCAAATTCTTTTGTCTCAGAATTAGTTTTGAAAATATGGCTTTTATTTAGAGTTGTCAATTCAGATAAGCATCTCTCTGTGGAAGCTTTGGAAAGGCAGGGACCATGTTTATTTGGGTTTGTCAATTATTCGTGAGACCTGGTGCAAACAAGATGCTCAGTACATTTTCAATGTTCTGTAAGTTGAGAATGCCAGACAGAGAATTGTAAAGAGTGCCAGAGGAAAGTGGTATTGGTTGCTCAGTTTCCAAAGTCCCTAACTTATGAAAGAATCATAAAAAGTTATGTGGCTGATTGCTGAAGACGGTGATATAAATAGGGAAGATAATATGGCCATGGCAGTTCATACTTTCCAGCCCTGAATAGCACAGTGGAGAGAGAACTGGACTGTGACTAAGAAGACAGGAATCCTAATCCTGGCTCTGGCACCTTCCCACTGTATAGCCCTTGGGCAATTCATAGAACCTCTTAGTTTCTTTCTCACTTGAGGAGAGCAGGCAGGAACTAACATTTACTGGTGATTTACAACATACCAGGTCCTGTGTGAGGAGTTTTACATATATTGCTTCATTTAATCTGAGGAAATTTGACTAGGTTCATTCCAACTCTGAATGCTCAAAATTTTATGATCCTCAGCTAATTTAATTCACATGCCAAAGTACATACAGCAATAAAAGACATTTTGGATAGATATACACCTAAAAAAAGTAAGTGGTTGTTAATCCTTTCCTGAAGATTACATACATGTTGATTAAATTATGCTTTGGAAGAATGTTAATACAAAGAAGTTACATGGTTGCCTGATAGCCACAGGTGATATTCATGATGTTGATGACAGAGTTGATTGATAAATGACACCTCTTTGCTCCCAGCTCCATCCCCTGGCTATCAGACTACTGAACAGTGGGCACACTCACTCATCCACCTGATTACTACAGCAGTCTGTTTAAAGTCAGCAAATGCTTTAAGAATGCTTATCTGAATTAACAACTCTAAATGAAAGCCATATTTTCAAAATTAACTCTTGGGACAAAGGAAGTGTAGGTTTTAATTTGCAGCCAAGAAATACAGGTCCAATCAAGCATCCCTCAATGGGATATTTCATGAAGGTGCAAGGAAACCACCTCAACAGGAACTTTGAGATTTCCACCCTTTGGGTGGTAAAGCACAGGCAGACAATGGACTGCTTTTATGCAGAGCAGAGCCAAAAGATAAAAGAAATCTTGACTTATGAGAAGTATAGTTCTATGTGGGAGTTCCTTTTCCTACAATAAACCACACTAACCAGATGTCTCATGAAAACCACTCCTAGGACATAATTATTGCTTAAATGCTACATTCAAGGCAGGGAATGGCACCCTGGATCCGAAGTCAAGTATCCCAGAAAGAAATATCTGAGTTCCATGAATTCTACAGTTTCAGCTGTTAAGATAACTCTGTGTGTGTGTGTCTCTCTGTGTGTGTGTGTGTGTGTGTGTGTGTGTGTGTTGGGGTGGGGGGATGCTTTCTGTATGTTGTATCCATTCCTTTCAAACATTATTGTCTTCAGTTCCTTCTCTTGGATTTTCTTTAGTTGTTTGAAGGTATTCACTATCTAGAAATAAAATGGAGTGCATTAAATGGACACTCAGTTTTCCAACCTGCCCCTGCCAGTCTTCTCCGGAGATGGCTAATTGATTTCATCGATTTCAGCTTCCTGATGTCTGAAATCCATTATTCAGGACTGAATCTGAGCTGGACTGCACCACTCTCAACTCCCTTTGGTGAAACTCCAGTGGCAAATGTGCCCTGTCTTGAATTTTTGTTGGTGACAAGGTAGTACTTGCAATCGTAACAGGATCAACTCTGTACACATGGGTATGAATTTGAGAAAGATCATTAGATACAACTATCTTACCACTGGAGACCTGCTTTGTGTGATAAGTATGGCTTGCTTTGGACCAAGGGCGACACAAGGGGCCGTGATTTGAAGGGTAGTCCTCAGCTAGAGTGTGGGAAGGGCTGTGCTTCAGCTATGCTATGGCAATTATGGTTTTGGGGTACTTGGTTCTTAAAAGTTCACAAGGACCAAAACCCTCAAGGGTGTGGAAAGACCTGATTATTGAGAAAGTAGTTTCAGTTGGCACAGCTGACTGGGTTAGGCTGAATGTCCTAATACTGCTAACAGAGGTAAAAATCCTCAAACCCATGCTAACAAATAAGAATGAGAACACCACCACCCACCTGGCCTTCTCCCTAGTGCTGTGCAATGTAGTGGTTCTCAGTCCAGCCATGCTGAAGAAGCCTTTAAATGTGTCTATATTAATCCCTTCCCCCTTATTCCCATCTCCATCAATCTGGTTCAGAATTATACCCCCTTTAATTCCTGAAATACTATTTTAGCTACTGTCTCTATCTTCAGGCTTTCTGATCTTCAGGTATTCCTTAAGTTCTTCCTAAATGTCTTTCTGTTCCAAAACCTTCCAGGGACTTCTTCCTATAAACCAGAAGACTTAACAGGTTTGGCAAATGAAAAGAGCACTGCAGTGACAGGATTCCAGGTTTCAAGGAAAACTCTGTTGCCCACTAGAAGCTGTACATTCTTGCTGAAGTCATTTAATCTCCCTAAGTTTTGTTTCCTTACCCTTAGAGTGGGAGTAACAATACCTTTATTCGTTCAATACCATGAATATCATTTATGGTGATCTAAGCTGACATAACAGATATGAAATCCCCAAAGTGTTACACCACTTCTGGATTCAGCAAGAGAAATGTAACGATCCATTATAATAGCTCACATTTATTGAGCACCTACTTTGTGCAAGATGCTGTTTTAAGTATTTTGCGAATATCAATTCATTTAATCCTCACAACAACCCTATTTTATACATTAGAAAACTGAGATATAGAGAGGGTAATTAGCTTGCCCAAGTGTATCATTTTCGAGGGGCTAGAATTGGACTGTGAAGCCTGTAATCATGGCTCCTGAGGCCATATTCTACAAAGAAAAAACATAGAGAAGGGATCACTCCTGCAAATATAATTTTCTAAATAATTGGTGGTCTTTCCTCCAACAATTATCTATCCAGAAATTCATATATGTGATGAATTTTTATGAAGCACAAACTGTATGTCAGGCATTCTGCTATTCTTGGGAATTCAAGAAAAACTAAATCCAATTCTTACTCCTAAGGGGCACACAATCTAGTGGCAGGCGGAGATCCATAAAGCAAGTGATAAGGTTTTCAGAGTACTCTGGATCCACATGAGGGCCACTCAGCCAGGTTTAGTGAGGTCAGGGAAAGCATCTCAGTGAAGGTGATACTAGAGATGGGACATAAAGACAATCAGGATTTGGCCAAGCCGACACTGGCAAGTGGAAAGAGACATTTTAGGAAGAAAGAACAGTAAGTCCATAATTAGGATAGAGAAGAGAGCATGCAGAGAACAACAGACCATGATTATTGAACATAATTCCACGTGGCTAGAGACCTAGTCTGATTGCTTACACTGCATCCCCCAGCATTTCATATTAGAATGTAAGCCCTAAAAGAGGAGAGAACTTGTCTGCTCTGGACACTATTATATTACCAGTGCCTGCTACTGATGGGGGTGCTCAGTAGTTGTTTGCTAAATGCATATATCCATGAATGGATCTATGAATGGATGGTATGTGCTAAATAAATACTTGTTGGATGGACAAATAGATAAGTAAGTAAATAAATAAATAGATAGATGAATAAATACATAAATGGAGTCCTACTCCAAAAGAGGCTGGGACAAGCCTCTAGATTTCATATACGTTGCACTAAATATAAACCCAAGCAACTATCAATCAAATTAATTTGTCTTGGGTGCAAGCACCAGCATTTAAACTTTATCTTAATAACACCGGACTGCTGAAATGCCTCAAGCTGAAGGGTGACACAGTCATACAACATGTGAGAAAGATCACTCACATGGAAGTTTGATCAGAGTATATAGAGTCATCTCACAAGAAAGCCTAGTCATAAGACAGTGAAAGGAAAAGCAAACATTCAAAGCAGGGTTTACTCCCACTTTTAACAAATCTATTCTATGAAAATTTGTATGAAAGCAAAGTAAAGGACTAAAAAATAATTTCACAAAGATGAGAGATATAGGATACTCTGTAGTGAACTCTGGCTGAAAAATTAGATGTAGGTTTTGGCCCTGATGGGTCTCTAACTTATGGAGTAGGGGGCAGTTGTTAGCAAGTCACTGGATTCTTGAGAGCTTAGGTTTCTCCTAAACAAAGAGAATCAATGGTCTCAAAGGCCTCCTCCAGCCCTCTCATTCCAGGATTATGGGTTCTATGACTCTCTGACCTCTGTGATACTTTTTTAAAACATGCAGAAGAGTGAATGGAATAGAACTTTTAGCTTAGGCTCATAGATTTGAAATGATTTTGGAGAGAGTATTACTGCAAGGAATATAAAGTTCAAACCCTTCATTTTATAGATATGGAGATCAAGGATCAGCAATATTAATTTAAATGCCAAGATCATATAATTAAGTGAAGGTGGAGGAGAAGATAACCCCGCACTTATTCATTAAACTGCATGAATTTGTTTATAGAAAATCAAAAGTTAGGCAAATTGGACTTGAACTTTTTGCTATGTTTAATTTTAAGTTTGAATATCTGAATTCATTAAGAACTTACTCCAAAATTCTTCTAACAGAATTTATGGCCATTACTGGTCAAAGTGGTAAATGTAAAAGTCAACAAAAAATAAAATCCTCCTCTTGTTCTTTCATTTGTGAATTCCTACTGGATACTAAGTCTTATAGGTACAAAGACTAAGAAGACCCAGACTAGGTTACTTTTAATGTTGTATGAGTTCTAAAATACTATGGTGATCCATCCTATTTTCAAATTTTAATGTGTATATTAACTTAGCTTAGAAGGCAATTTTCCATGTAATAGTTGTATTTTTTAATTGCTGCTCAATACTTTGCCTTTATGTTAGGGATTCAAACTCCACAAAAAAGTCAATGCTTACTTGTTAGATGTACCATGAAGGTTTGTCAGTATAGTGAAGTTGTTTCTCACACTTCGCAAGCTGGCAAGGACCTACAAGAAAAATGTTTAAAATGGTTAAGGCCAAAAGAAGACAAATGGCCAGGTTCAAACTTAGAAACTAGCAACAGTGAAAGCAAGCCAGGGCCAGCATAATACATACCTGGGCAAAAGGAGTTACAATCAAGTCATCGCCATGTCTGGTGAAAAGAGAAAAAAAGAACCTTTAGAAATTTACTTGAATTATAACTGTGACATACAAGCTCTAATATTAAATTTTATCAGTGTTAACAACACAAATGTTACACAAGTTCTTCTACCTGGATATAAGGCAGGACTCACAATTTGGCCTGAAAGTGTATCCCAAGAGCTTGAAAGGAAAAAAATTAGTACCAGATTCATGACTCCTGAATTTACAGTGACTACACATAAAAGCATTTGCAAGTAAGCATATATCCTCAGGATATATTCCCATTAAATAACAGATCCAGAGTACTGTAATTTAAAGCGACTTGTGGATTTTGGTTGCCAGAGCCAGGAAATTCAAAGGGAGGGCTGCTCACAGGGACACACACAGTTGGAAAAAATGGTATAACAGTCTGGATAAAGGTTAACTTTGGATTTCCTGGCTTTTGTTGATTCGAACCACAGCTTTAATGCCATTTAAACACAGAATTCTGTCTGGGAATCCCATTACTTTTTGTTTTTAATATAACTTTTTTCTTAAAGTATCTAAGGAAAAGCTTTTAATAGTAGCATATGGCTGAACCCACCATAATCATACCATTGTCACTCCATTTTGTCCCAAAGAACTGATTAAGCTGTACCCAGTGTTATGTAAATCTGTATTTAGGAAGAGTCGAAAATGTGTTTTCACTGGCACGTGCTTTGAGAAATCTACTTAAACCCACATTCAGCAATCTCTCTATTGAAGGTACTAGAAGACATGCTGGTTTGAGCTATAGTCACAAAATCAGGCCCTTTGCCATTACAGTGTGAATCATCGTAGCAGCACAGAAGTCAGTAACAGTGAACCTTCCCTTAGTGTCTGGCCTACCTTCCCTGTCCTCATAATTGCCACACAAATATGGCACCTTCTTTGTTAACTACATTAGTGCAACCAATAATTATTAATTGTGTGCCATGTACCAGGCACCATGTGAGGCCTCGGGCTCCAGAGTTAACAACACATACATCCATTTGGGCCTCTCCTCTATCATAGGCTTTTAACTTGGCATCTATTTAATATGATACTTTTCTTTCCACCTTTGTCTTTAGCTAGAAACCTCTGAACTTCAATTTAATCTGGCAAGTTTCTTCTGTGCCCACTTTGTACGGTGACAATAAAAAGAATACTGACAAGGAGTAAGCATTCTTTGTGTGACTACTACTGTCTGCCAGGCCTCATGGTAAGCAGTTTACATGCATTATCTCATTTAATTATTGTAACAGGGCTGTGCGGCAGGTACTCTTAATATTGCTATTATATAAATGACATCGATCCACAGAGCAATTAACTAGCACATACCTAGTAAGTAGAAGAACTGAGACTGATTCCAAATGTAAGAATTTAGACCGTTTGGTTTCAAAAATCTGTGCTTTTAAACACTATGCTTCGTTTTTGTTGTTGTCATTATTTTGCTTTGTTTTGAGACAGGGTCTAGCTTTGTCACCTAGGCTGGAGTATAGTGGCATGATCTCAGCTCACTGCAACTTCTGCCTCCAGACTCAAGCAATCTTCCCACCTCAGACTCTGGAGTAGCTGGGACTACAGGAACACAACACCACACTAAGTTATTGTATTTATTTATTTATTTATTTATTTTGTATTTTTCTGTAGAGACAGAGTATTGCCATGCTGCCCAGGCTGGGCTCAAGCAATCGGCCCACTTTGGCCTCCCAAGTGCCAGAGTTACAGGTGTAAGCCACTACACCTAGCCTATGCTTCCTATTTTATGACTTGCTGCATAGTTGACATATCAAATCATACAAAATATTCATGACCTCCAAAATTAAAACAAAGTAGGGGAGACAAATTATTTTAAAAACTGTAATAGACATTTTAATATAGAATGAGAATTACGAACAATGGGTATACTTCACGAAGTCCAAAGGAAACATGATAATTACAGGTTAGAGAAAGTAGGAAAGTCTTGATTGAGTGAGCAGTGTTTCAGATGAACTTTGAAGGATTTAAGAAGTCAGGGATGGTAGATGCTGCCAATGAAGAGAAATGACAGGAACAAAGGCACTGAAATGAGAAAATACTGAATACGCTTATTAAGATCTTTGATGGCTATTTGGGTGGAGAAGAGCATATTAGCTATAGACATTTGTAGAGAATAAAGATAGAAGTCCCCCCATGCTCATATTATGGACAATCCAGACAAAGATTATAGAGTCAGTACTTAACTCCATAGAAAGAAATGACCCAGGCTGGGTGCGGTGGCTCATGCCTGTAATCCTAGCACTTTGGGAGGCTGAGACAGGCAGATTACCTGAGGTTGGGAGTTCGAGACCAGTCTGACCAATGTGGAGGAACCCTGTCTCTACTAAAAAAAAAAAAAAAAAAAAAAAAAAAAAAAAAAAAAAAATTAGCTGGGCGTGGTGGTACAGCTACTCGGGACGCTGAATCAGGAGAATCACTTGAACTCAGGAGGCAGAGGTTGCAGTGAGCCTAGATCACACCATTGCACTCCAGCCTGGGTGATAAGAGTGAAACTTTGTCTAAGAAAGAAAGAGAAAGACAGAAAAGAAAGACAGAAAGACAAAGAAGAAAGAAAGAAAGAAAGAAAGAAAGAAAGAAAGAAAGAAAGAAAGAAAGAAAGAAAGAAAGAAAGAAAGAAAGAAAAAGAAAGAAAGAAAGAAAGAGAGAAAGCAAGAAAAGAGAGAGAGAAAGGAGCCAGTGAAGGTTTCTGGAGAGATGGAAAGTGAGATGGGCCAACAGAAAAGTGTTTTAGAAAGTAAAATGCTTGGATGTGGAGGGATAGATTGGAGAAGGGACAGACCTGGAAAGAATAGTTAGAAATTGCACCCATTTTGATGAGAAGCAATAGGTAAGGCCAAGAAAGGGACAGAATGAGACAACTGGAAGAGAGCCCAGAGGTTTCGCAGGACTCGACATTTAATTGGATAAGGGGTCATAAAGAAATATAATTTTCAATTTTAAAAATGGATATCTGAGAAAACAGTGAAGTCATGAGTAGAAATAAGGAAATGAGGAGTTTACCCTCCTGTTGGGGGAGTTTTAAGTAGTCACTGAGTTTTTAAGTTACATGTTGAACTTTAAGGTACTGATTTACATCTGGGTGGAGACATCGAGCAGGAAGACTGAGATATGGGAATTTGAGCTATAGATTAAGGGGTTCCCTACAAAAGTAGGGATAGTTAAGGCCATGGCAGGAAGTGGCCCCCTGAGGTGGGGGTACATATAAATAGGGAGCCAAAGGAAGAGCCTCAGGGTTCTTGGAGAGATGCAAAAAAGAAAGACAGAATAATCAAGAGAGGAGCAGTTGTGATAAATGGAGTGTGGTGAACTGTATCAGAAACTGCCCCTTTCCAGTCATTTTTCCCAAGATGAACTTTGAGATGGGTAAAGATCTTGCAGTTTGTTCTGATTCTTTTCTTCCTTCCCTTCCTTCCTTCCTTCCTTCCTTCCTTCCTTCCTTCCTTCCTTCCTTCCTTCCTTCCTCCCTCCCTCTCTCTCTCTTTCTTTCTTTTTCTTTCCTTCTTTCCTTCCTTCCTTCCTTCCTTCCTTCCTTCCTTCCTTCCTTCCTTCCTTCCTTCCTTCCTTCCTTCCTTCCTTCCTTCCTTCCTTCTTTCCTTCTTTCCTTCTCTCTCTCTCTCTCTCTATTTTATCCTTTCTATTTTTTTTAGGCTAGTTAAGTGAAGTGTTCTGATTTCTGATGTGAAGTTCACATTGTTCATAAGACATCAGGGTGAATTTGGGACAAGATAATGGATTTAGATTTAAGTGTATCTTCCATGACTCCTGGATTTCCAGAGTCTGGTATCTGATAAAAGCTAAATAATATAAGTAAATCTCATGCATAGGTGGTACCTTGAGCTGACGGATTGTTGAATGAGTTGGAGGAGTTATTAAAACTGCACAATCCAAAGACTAAAGGGAGATAAAGAAACATTAATAGGGCATAATGTCATCATGACTTTATCATTATGGAACTTCTGAAGTTTAGGAGAACAGAACATTCAGAAGCAAAAAATAGATTTTACAGATTCCCAGCATTGGTTCCCTTAAAGAATTCGAGCTGGCAAAGCTAATGCTGTATGTTAGAAAACTGCTGTTAAAGAATCTATCAATTTATAGAAAGTAACAGAAAAGAAACAAAAAACTTCTCTTTGAGTGCAACCAGATTATTTACGGAACTATTATAAATTTTTAAAAATCACAATTTGATAAATCACTAGTTAAGAATCAAATAGCATAGAAAGAACAAAACATTTGATTGATTATGGAAACTAATACACTTCTTACTTTCCCAAACCCCTGGAGAAGCAATGCCTCTCAGGAGCAAGTCCGGATATTCAGAACCATTGCAAGAGCAACATCTAGTGACAAAGTCAGCACATTGCAAATTTAGAGCATAACTGGAAATGAGCACTCCAGTCTTAGTACTGAGTCATAGAATGGAGTGTATGTAGGTCTGCTCTAAACGATAAAATAATTTTCTAGAAAGCAGAAAAACTGCCTTTCACTGCCACACTCTGAATGTTATTAATTCATTCCACCTTTCTCTGTTTTATCACTACACACAGAATTTAACTTGTAATTTGCTTGATTTTAGTCTGTCATATAGAGAGATATATACTATAGTGGTTAACAGCACAGATTTTGGAGCCAAGGAGCATGGGTTTGTCTCTCAGCTGCATTAATACTAGCTAATCCTCTTCATGTCTCAACATTTTTACCTGTAAAAGAGGGTCGTATGAGAATTAAATGAATTATTACATATGTACAACTCTTAATAACAGTGCTTAGCACATAAAAGCAGCTTAGTTATTGATTTATAGTTATTAGCAATGCCAGTAGGTAGGTATCTTTGTTTTTATATGGATGGTCCTCAACTTAACGATTATTTCACTTACTCCTTTTTTTTTTTTTTTTTTCTTCTGAGACAGAGTCTCACTCTATTAACTAGCCTGGAGTGCAGTGGCATGATCTTAGCTCATTGCAACCTCC